AGCCTTCCACGAAGATTGCCCAAGCTTTCTTTGTACAATTGCGTTGAAAGATTTCAAAATCTCCTTCACTTGCAAGTTTCCTATATCTTTAACTGCAGCATAAATTTGAGCTTCTTCAAATGGAGCGATCTGCTCGTCAGCAATATTGAATAGTTCGTTTTTAATCGTCCGTCGATCTTCGAGTATTGGATAAATGGTGGAAAGTCGTTTATATACCGTATATACATAATTATACCCATTAGCGCGAGAGCTTTTACGTAATTCCTTTATTTGACTTATTACCCGTTCGAACCATTGTGTGCAATATTCACCGAGTCTTGCATTCATTTTTGCATCTAAATGAATTTTGTCCAGAACTATCCGAAGTAGTTCCACAAACACATCCAATATTTCCATGTTTCGTGAAGTAGATACCGAATTCAACACTTTCATTCTGTCTTCTGACGTCCATAATAGTCTGTCATCTTCGAACAACGCAACAAATTCCTTAACATTGTCTCTGTCCCATTTTGATCTTTGTCCATTGAGTAAATCTATAATACTTTTAATGAACAATGACGAGAATTCAATATCTAGATCGTCTGGCAATTCGTCCAAATGCACACGTAACCTTGTTGCATTATCCGTCTTGATTATCTCGTTCAGACGTGCCATCCAATTCTGTTTTAATGCCTCATTAGTCTTCATTTCTGGTCTAATCATCTCCTTCCATAGAAATACTAGAATTCGAATATTGGCGGCGATATCAATAAACGACTAATGATATACATTACATTAGTATCATATTCGAAGCTATGCAGCGGAAAATTAAATAGTACTTACTCTAACTAATCGAATATATTGGATATCTGTCTCCCTTTCCATATTAAGTTTCTGCTCAACAAGACATTTGCAGAAACGATCCGACTGATCTGAATTTAGTTCACGTCGTCTAACTGAGTCCAAGAACGAATATTTTGGATCGATAAACGCTGCTACTTCGAACATTCCCATCCACTCAAAAGAATCTGAAGTGTCCCAGTTATGCCGGACTAACACGCGAACAGCGTGGGATAGCAAGTCTACAACGTCTTTGAGGAGTGTGTCATCACCATCTATAAAACTAAGAGAATTCAACAAGTCGGCCGATGGGAATGTATCATTGAGTCTAACTTCGGAACCATAATGGGAGTTTTTCGCAAGCATGCCAAGCAGTATGCATAAGAAAACACGTTGTGCATCTTGGCTTGTGTCGTAAGCGTGGTTGCTGATAAATTCTACATCCACAGTTTTCTGACACAAATCTCTGTATTTCTTGAACACCCTTAAGTAGTCCATAAGCTTGGCCTTGAAATTAGCTTCGGTGATCGTTTCGAATATTTGTGTAGGGAAGCAAAACGACTTATAAATATCACGTTCGTGAAGAGAGTATTTATAATTCCGTTTCCAGATGTCATATTGGTTTTCTTCGGGATCAAGTTCGCGATTATCTCTGCCGTCATAGCCTTCGAAAGTCATAAAAGCACTATTATTCCAGAGTTGCCTTAGAAATCCTCCACCTTTGGAAATTATGACATATTTGTACGAAATTTTTTGTGCAAATGCAAATCGATGAGTCGGAATTCTCACTGGGTCCGAATACCAATAATTTGACTCTTTATATCTCCTAAGGCAGACTTTTGCCTCCCCCCAACTGCCCAATTCATCGATACTACCAAAAACATAGACTTCGATATCCTTCAGCTTAGGCATATGAACGTGAAACGTTGTGACCACTTCGTCAGAATTCTGATATCGAGGCAAGATCGGTCGAGACCGCTTCTTCTTGATATCTTTGTTTCCGTAAATATCACTCGGCTTTCCTGTTTTGGCGGGTTTCCCGTTTCCAGATGCTACCTCTGCGTAAGATTGAACAGGTTGATCATCATCATCATTTTCTATCAAGTCGGCAATATTAGGCACGTCTTTCAAAGCACCCGTAGAAATTTTCCGAATCTTTGACTTATTCGTTCTTTTTTCGTCATACTCATGCGACATGACATTGCCTTCTGTGTTTAAACCATCGCTACGAGAATCTTTCTGTCTTGCGTTTCTCGTTTCCCATACAACTTGCTTCGCTTGTTCATTCGCTCCTCGTGCAATTCGATTGCTTCCTGCAGCTAGGCTTCGTCGATAAACATCTTTTTCCATCCCAGTTCCATGCTGATGACATGAACCAAAGTAACCAATCCTAGCACGATTACCCGACAGCTCCCATTTGACACAAAGATCTTCAACACTTTCACTTA